GAGTACAGTGGCACTATCACAGCTCACTGCAACCTCTGCCTCCCAGGCTGAAGTGATTCTCCCACGTCAGTCAACGGAGAAGCTGGAACAAGAGGTTTGTGTCCCCATACCCGGATAATTTTTGCATTTTTTGTCGAGACAGTGTTTTGCCATGTTGCCCAGGCTGGCCTCGAACTTCTGGCCTTAAGCAATCCGTCTGCCTCAGCCTCCCCAAGTGCTGGGATTACAGATGTGAGCCACTGCACCTGGCCTATGTTTTCTTATTGCAAAATAAATTTTTTATTATAGAACATTAGAAGATATTGATAAGAAAAAAGAAAATACTTCTTCCCACCATTAATTTGACTCATTAACGCTTTCGCTTATATCATCCCTGTCTTTTCTTTCTAATTTAGTTATACAAGTGACTTTACATTAAAATAGTTTCACAACAAAATGCTTTGTGCCTTTTTTTTTTTTTTAAACAATTACATTTATCCGGCCGGGCATGGTGGCTCACTCCTGTAATCCCAGCACTTTGGGAGACTGAGGCGGGTGGATCACGAAGTCAGGAATTCGAGACCAGCCAGACCAACATGGTGAAACCCTATCTCTATTAAAAGTACAAAAATTAGGCCAGGTGTGGTGGCTCACGCCTGTAACCCCAGCACTTTCAGAGGCCGAGGTGAGCAGATCACAAGGTCAGGAGATCGAGACCATCCTGGCCAACATGGTGAAACCCCATCTCTACTAAAATACAAAAAATTAGCCGGGTGTGGTGGCGTGTGCCTGTAGTCCCAGCTACTTGGGAGGCTGAGGCAGGAGAATCGCTTGAGCCCCGGAGGTGGAGCTTGCAGTGAGCCAAGATTGTGCCACTGCACTCCAGCTTGGGCAACAGGGAGAGACTCCTTCTCACAAAAAACAAAAAACAAACAAACAAAAAACTCGGGCGTGGTGGTGGGTGCCTGTAATCCCAGCTACTCAGGAGGCTGAGGCAGGAGAATCGCTTGAACCCAGGAGGCGGAGGTTGCAGTGAGCTGAGAATGTGTCACTGCACTCTAGCCTGGGCAACAGAGCAAGACTCTGTCTCAAATAACAACAACAACAACAAGAGAACCTAATTACATTCATTTATTTTAAGTGTACAGTTCAATACATTTTCATAAAAATCTATATTTGTGTAATCTGTGTCACAATCTAGTTTTAGAACAATGCCTTGAAGTTCTCCCATGCCACTTAGCAGTTGTAGTCTGCTTTTTAACTTAATAAAACTTGGGGACATTATTCTTTTGTTCAAAATATTCTTTTACAACATCACTTAATGTCCTTCTGGTATTGTTTCATATAGCTGTATTGTGCTTTACTGGACATTTAGGCTACTTTAAGTTTCATACTATTAAACGTTTAATGGCTGGGCGCAGTGGCTCACACCTGTAATCCCAGCACTTTGGGAGGCCGAAGCAGGTGGATCACAAGGTCAGGAGTTCAAGACCATCCTGGCCAGCATGATGAAACCCTGTCTCTACTAAAAATACAAAAATTAGCCAGGTATGGTGGTATGCACCTGTAGTTCCAGCTACTTGGGAGGCTGAGGCAGAAGAATCACTTGAACCCTGGAGGTAGAGGTTGTAGTGAGCTGAGATCACACCACTGCACTCCAACCTGGGCAACAGAGTGAGACGCTGTCTCAAAAATAAAAAAAAGAAAAAGAAAAAAATTAAACATGGTGTACATCTTTGTAATGAAATAATTTTGTACATTCATGATTATTTCTTTATGATTACTTTCTTTCTTTTTTTTTTTTTTTGAAACGGAGTCTTGCTCTGTGGCCCAGGCTGGAGTGCAGTGGCCGGATCTCAGCTCACTGCAAGCTCTGCCTTCCGGGTTTACGCCATTCTCCTGCCTGAGCCTCCGAGTAGCTGGGACTACAGGCGACCGCCACCTCGCCCGGCTAGTTTTTTTGTATTTTTTAGTAGATACGGGGTTTCACCGTGTTAGCCAGGATGATCTTGATCTCCTGACCTCATGATCCGCCCGTCTCAGCCTCCCAAAGTGCTGGGATTACAGGCTTGAGCCACCGCGCCTGGCCTATGATTACTTTCTAGAATAGGAATTGCTGAGTCAATGGTTATAATTAGCTCTATCACTAAGCTCTGTGAGGTTAAGTCATTTTACTTGTTTGTTAACTATTATATGTTCAGGTCCTAGAACTAGGTCTGGCACACAGTATGCAACTCAGTTGATAATTGGTGAATGAATGGATGGATGAGTACCCTCTTGCTATACTATATTTCGGCAGAGAGATGCCAATTTATACTGTCATTGACAGTGTGTGACAATTTAATAGAAATAATCTATTGCTGTACATTTTAGATTTTCCAGGACAGATCCTACTAAAAAATATTCTGTCCTGTTATCTCACTGATGCAAGGAAAGATTCCAGGAACTGTAACATTTTGGCATCCAAATTATATCTCCTAGATTCCCTGTTATACCTACAGCCATATGAAAAGTCTCTTGTCAAGTCATAAATCTTTTTACCTAGAAAATATGACTACTTATCTATAAGGTTAGTTCTTCTCTCCAACATCGTATCTTTATGAATAATAGCAAGTATATTTAGACTCTTTTGACTAGTCATGGTAACACTCGCGAAATTACCTCAAGGCCACTTCAATAAGCAGTTTTGGGGGCATTGCCTTCATTGCTTTTTCCTGGTATTTTATAATTTTACAGCAGGGCGCAGTGGCTCACGCCTGTAATCCAAGCACTTTGGGAGGCTGATGTTGGCAGATCACCTGAGGTTAGGAGTTTGAGACTAGCCTGGGCAACATGGCGAAACCCCATCTCTACTAAAAATAAAAAATTAGCTGAGTGTGGTGGCACGTACCTGTAATCCCAGCTACTTGGGAGGCTGAAGCAGGTGAAACGCTTGAACCTGGGGAGGTGGAGGTTGCAGTGAGCTGAAATCACATTGCTGCACTGAGCCTGGGCAACAGAGTAAGATTCTGTCTCAATTTTTTTTTTTTTAAACATTATGAGGCATTGTCCCCATCAATATTGGACATATCTTTTCCTTTTTCTGGGTCAAAATTTTTCTAGAATAGTGATTTAAAAAGCATTTGTTCTATATGTTGAGTGTGATGGACTGGTTTGCACCCACACACCTGCAAACCAGCTTCTTGGACAACATTTACAAATAGTTGATCTCATCCCTTGTATATATATTTTTTATCCCTTACATTTTTAGATCAGAATTGGCACAAGAAATAAAACACTTTGCCATCTTGACAGTAGATCAGAAGGTTAATATAGATTTAGTCTTGGTACATCCAGATTTCCTGAGTCCAAAAGTGGTCTGTCTCTCTGTGGGCAACCCTTGAGAAAATACCCCAGAAAAATACCCCAGTGGGACTGGGCACAGTAGCTCATACTTATAATAACACCACTTTGGGAGGCTGAGGTGGGAGGATCACTTCAGCCCAGGAGTTTGAGACCAGCCTGAGCAACATAGGGAGTCCATGTCTCCACAAAAATAAAAAAATTAGCCAGGCATGGTGGGGCATGCCTGTAGTTCCAACTACGTGAGAAGCTGAGGTGGGAGGATTCCTTGAGCCCAGGAGGTTGAGGCTGCAGCAAGCCATGATTGTGTCACTGCACACCAGCCTGGGTGACAGAGTGAGACCCTGTCTCTAAACAAACACACACACCAAAACAAAAACAAAAACAAAACAAAAAACCAGTAATGGATGATACATACTTAAACATGATTGAAAGGGCAAATTTTATGGAATGTATATTTTACCGTAATAAAAAATTATAATTCCCAAACTTGTAATATAGTTATATATGTGCTGCTTTATTAAATGCATTAAAGAACAGCAACAATAAATACAATTGATGTGATCAGCTATTCGTTTTTTGTTTGTTTGTTTTGTTTTGAGACAGAGTCTTGCTCTGTCACCCAGGCTGGAGTGCAGTGGCATAATCTCAGCTCACTGCAAGCTCCTTCTCCCAGGTTCCAGTGATTCTCCCACTTCAGCTTCCAGAGTAGCTGGGATTATGGGCGTGTGCCATCACGCCCGGCTAATTTTTGTATTTTTGGTAGAGACAGGGTTTCATCATGTTGGCCAGGCTGGTCTCGAACTCCTGACCTCAGGTGATCCGCCTGCCTCAGCCTCCCGAAGTGTTGGGATTACAGGCATGAATCATCGAACCTGGCCGTGTTCAGCTATTTGTAAGAGCAATCCAGGTATGCAGGTTGTAGCTAAGGAGCCTTGGGAATACCCAAATTTAATCAAGGTTCTTTAGGGCTTGCTGATCTTATTCCCTGAAACTGAAAGGTCATCCTCTTCTGCTGTCTCTAGTGTCTTTCACAAACAATTGAAAACCTAATCCAGTTTACACTCACCATAAACTCAGGTTTATTGCTTGGAGAGCCCTTAGCTCAGGTCAACTTTTCTCCTTCCTGCTGAGGCTTAGGCAGTCTTAAGCCAGGTAGGGGCAGCAGAGCATAGCTGATTGCTAGGGAACGAACAGCCCAGCATCTATTTACTGGTAAAGATTTAGGAAAGGGGGCCGGGCGCGGTGGCTCACACCTATAATCCCAGCACTTTGGGAGTCCGAGGTGGGCGGATCACGAGGTCAGGAGATCCAGACCATCCTGACCAACATGGTGAAACCCCGTCTCTACTGAAAATACAAAAATTAGCTGGGTGTGGTGGTGGGCGCCTGTAATCCCAGCTACTCGGGAGGCTGATCCAAGAGAATGGCTTGAACCCAGGAGGCGGAGGTTACAGTGAGCCAAGATCATGCCACTGCATTCCAGCCTGGTGACAGAGGAAGACTCCATCTCAAAACATAAACAAACAAACAAAAAATTTAACGAAAGGGAAACCATTTTATGACTTAAACATTTTTACTGGTCAGAATCCAAAAGATGTCAAAATTTCCAGCTTCTAAGAACGTACTTAGACAAAAGCAAGAAACCATAATTTTGATAACTATGAAAAAGTAGTTTGTGATGAGCTGTTTAGAAAATGTAGAAATTTCATTACTGAAATCCCTTTAAACCTTTCCGTTTTCTTTTTCTTCCTGAGTCTGTGTCACATTCACTGGTATCTGATGAGGAAAAGGATCTGGAGTTATGGGAGGAATTTCTATTCACATAGGCATCATATAACCTTAAGTCCTTAGGAGAAAGTAGTTCTTGGCAAACATTCCAGGACCATGTATAAGTAGAAAAGGTGTCATAAAAGGACTCATTTCTAGAGTCTATCCCAATCAAATCCCCTCGGATCTTCTGCCAGAGGTTTAGCATTTCTTTCCGGTGTTCAAGGGCAATTCCAAAATTATAGGTATCAGTAGCTCTCTTCACCTGTAGTGAGAGACCAGAAGTTTATTGTAGTTACCTTAAAGTAGCTTTGATTTGTGGACCACAATGATAGATACCCCAAGAGTTATGTTCCTAGGCTACTCGAAAGTCAGAGTCTATACATTGGGTGGTGCCTCGTGAGGAAATGTGAGCTAGGAGTTGATGGACAACCAAAATGTACTGCTTGGGAATAATGAGGTAATAAGAAATTTTATAAGGATATGAGAAATACAGTGGACTAAAATAGGCTGAAGTATGGGATGGAGATAGGCTATGGATATAAGAGGAGTGCCAATTCAGTCACTCAATTCAGCCTAGGATAGGGAGAACTGACTGGGAGATGATGCTGAGCTGAGTAGGTCCTCAAGGATGTGATCAAATTGAGGGAGTGAGTGGTGAGGGGAAGGTGTTCCAGGGAGAAGGGACAGCATAAACAGAGACCCCCAAAGCAGTAAATATCCTGGAGGTGTGGTAGGAGGGTTCAGGCACTTGGTATTGCTGGAGTGTCAAGTTTAAAGTCAGAGGAATAAATAATGACAAAGGACAGGCAGGCCCTTACACTTAATCTTATAAGTCAGTAATCTCTGTGAGGCTAGCAAGACACTGTTCCTCAGTGAAAATCTTGCTGTAGTGAGCCACTGTTTCTAATGAAAGTGAAACAAATCCCTTAAGCAGAAAATAGAGTTGAAATTGCCATCATTGAGAGGGATGTGTTTACTTTTAAGCAGGACAGTGCCATGGTTGGCTCTTCATGTTGGATTATTAGCAGCTGTGTAGAGAATGGTTGGAGAATACCAGGTTGGCGACTGCCTCATCTAAGGCAGTGGTAATGGGGATGGAGTGAAGGGGACAGATTTGAAAAAATTTTTTTTTTTTTTTTTGAGACAGAGTCTTGCCCTGTCGCCTAAGTTGGAGTGCAGTAGTGCGATCTTGGCTCATCACAACCTCTGCCTCCTGGGTTCAAGGGATTCTCCTGCCTCAGCCTCCCGAGTAGCTGGGATTACAGGCACCCCACCACCACGCCTGGTTAATTTTTGTATTTTTAGTAGAAATAGGGTTTCACCATATTGGCCAGGCTGGTCTCAAACTCCTGACCTCAGGTGATTCGCCTGTCTTGGCCTCCCAAAGTGCTGGGATTACAGGTGTGAGCCACCATGCCTGGCCCTGAAAAATCTTTAAGAGAATGACAATAGGCCAGACTTGGGGATTAGCAGATGTGAAGAATGAGGAAAAAAACCCAAGTTAAGGATAGCTCCTGGCCTTCTAGCTTCAGTGACTGAGTAGTTGCTATCAACTGAGACATATGCAATATACTCTTGCAACAAACCTGCACATGTACCCTGTGGATCTAAAATAAAAGTTGACCTTATTTGAAAACACACACACACACGCACACACACACGCACACACACACACACACACAAACACCTGCAATACAGAATTCCCAGGGGAGAGCCAGTTGGATGCAGAAGATGATGAGTTTTGTTTTGGACATGTTGAGTTTGTTATGAGACCCTAGGTAGAGGTAGAAATATTCATCAAGTGGTTAGTGAGATAAGACAGAAATAGAGGAATGAAGTTAGGTTAGTGACAACTTTAATAGTACATAGGTGGCAGCTGAACCAAGGAGGATAGATTGAGATAGCCTAAAGAATACTTGCCCTAACTGTTCTTTACCTAATGCCAAGATTTCCAGTGTATTAATACCAAACTATTGATCTTCTCAAGCTTCTTAGCCCTGGTGCAGCTGGTGCCCCAGGGCTAGAGGCCTCAGGATGTAAGATTCTTTCACTATGAATCTCTGAGTACACTACTCACTGTGACTGTTGGTCAACTACCTTAATTAGTTTGATATTTCTGGAATAACATAAATGAATGTCCCAGAAATAATAGTGAGTATAGCCGCATAGGTGAATAGCAGGATGAATAATAACACTTAACATTTGAATCTATTTGATTATAGAGAAGGAAATGGTGTTATCACAATGGGTAAACATGAGAAACAATCTTTTCTCATTTTAAAGACAGAGCAGATAAAAATTACCTTCATTTTATGGTGTAGTATTGAAGTGGACAATATTTTTGTCAGTGATTTCTGGGAAGGCACTCCACAGGGAATACTCACGTGTTGTTTAATAGCAGTTTCATCAGCCACTGTACAAGTCTGCTTTTTCTTGAGTATTTGATCAATGGTGATGTTATTTGAATAACCTGAGGCAGGGTCCATAGACTTTATATTTGCTGCCTTTATGCATATTTAAAAAAGAAGGTTAGTAATACATTTTAGTTTGAATTATACAACAAAAAGACATAATAAATAAGTATATTTTATTATCGAAGGATTTGTATATAATTTATAAGATTATTGCCAAACCATTTGTTTGTTTGTTTAGACTTTTTCTGGGTCCCTCAGGAGTGGCATTTGCCATATGTGCAAAAATATCTGTATATCCTAGATGGTGCCCTAGGACTGGAAATGTTAGGTCAAAAGGTGTGAGGTCTGTCCTTTTGGTAATTATTGCCAAATTTCCTCTGTAGAGGGTGAACCAATTTACAAACCTACCTGTAACTTATGAGTATACCATGTTTTTTCATCTTGGTCAATCTAATATGAAAAGATAAATACCTGAGGAGAATTTTAACTTGGATCTTTTATGAGGAATGAAGTTGAATATTTTTTCATGTTTCTCAGAACTGTCTGTTCATACCCTTTGCCCATTTTTATATAGGTTAGTTTTTTTCTAATGAATTTGAAGTTCTTTCAAGTTAGCTTTTTGTGTTATGAGTGGCAACTGTGATTTTTTTTGGCCATATGGTGATTTTTGATCTTGAAGCAGTGGAATTAATATCTTTTTATTAAAAATGCATTTGGCTTTTGTATCACAGTTAGGGATGCCTTCCCAGAGTTTATTTCAGTATGTTTAAGGTTTCTTTTCTTTTTCTTTCTCTCTGACCCTCCATTTATTTCTTTTACATTTCATCCATTTGCAATTTGTACATAAAGTATAAATCTCATTTTTTTCCTCAGATGCCTACTCAGTGCACTATTTGTTGAATAATCTATCATTTTCCTGTTGTGTTGAAATGTCATGTTTTCCTTAAGTTAAAATTCTCCACATAGCTCTATTTATTTTTGGACTTTCTATTTTCTTCCTTGGGTCTGTCTGTCAATTTCTTAATAGCACACTTTTTTTTTTTTTTTTTTTGAGACGGAGTCTCACTCTGTCCCCCAGGCTGGAGTGCAGTGGCGCAATCTCAGCTCACTGCAACCTCCGCCTCCCGGGTTCAAGTGATTCTCCTGCCTCAGCCTCCCAAGTACCTGGGACTACAGGTGCCCGCCACCACGCCTGGCTAATTTTTTGTATTTTTAGTACAGATGGGGTTCCACCATGTTGATCAGGATGGTCTTGATCTCTTGACCTCGTGATCCACCTGCCATGGCCTCCCAAAGTGCTGGGATTACTGGTATGAGCCACCGGGCCCTGCCCATCAATATCACACTGTTTTAATGATTGAGACTTTTTTTTTTTTTTTTTTTTTTTAGACAGAGTCATGAAAGTGGCTCATGCCTGTGATTCCAGCACTTTGGGAGGCCGAGGTGGGTGGATTGCTTGAGCCCAGGAGTTCAAGACCAGCCAACATGGCAAAACCCCATCTCTACTAAAAATACAAAAACTAGATGGGCATGGTGGCATGTGTCTGTAGTCCCAGCTACTAGAAAGGCTGAAGTGGGAGGATTGCTTAAGCCTGGGAGACAGAGGCTGCAGTGAGCTGAGATCACATCACTGCACTCCAGCCTGGGTAACAAAGTTGAGACCCTGTCTCAACAACAACAACAACAACAACAACCACCCTTGGGGAAAATTTGAAAAACCACATTAAAGTTAACAAGCAAGAAAGAACAACACCCTTATAATGTCAAACTTTTTTTTTTTTTTTTTTTTTGAGACAGAGTTTTGCTGGAGTGCAGTGGTGGGATCTCGGCTCACTGCAACCTTAGCCTCCCGGGTTCAAGCAATTCTCCTGCCTCAGCCTCCCGAGTAGCTGGGATTACAGACTTGCACCACCATGCCTGGCTACATTTTGTATTTTTAGTAGAGACAGGGTTTCACCATGTTGGCCAGGCTGGTCTTGAACTTCTGAACTCAGGTGATCCACCTGCCTTGGCCTCCCAAAGTGCTGGGATTAAAGGTGTGAGCCACCATGCCCGGCCTTGAAAGTATTTTTATTTACCCTCTCTCGAATGATAGTTTAGCTGGAAATAATTTGCTGTCCTCAATCTATGGATATTATTTGATTGTCTTCTGGCCTGTATTTTTGCATGCATGAAGTCTCCTGTTAGTCTACTTTTTGTTCCTTTGTAAGTTATTTCTTTTTTCTCTCTGGTTCCCTCCCCTCCCCTCCCCTTTCCTCCTTTCTCTCTCTCTCTTTTTCTTTCTTTCTTCTTTCTTTCAAGACAGAATCTTGCTTGGTGGCCCAGGCTGGAGTGCAGTGGTGCAATCTCGGCTCACTGCAACCTCTGCCTTCTGGGTTCAAGAGATTCTCTTGCCTCAGCCTCCCAAGCAGCTGGGATTACAGGCATGTGCCATCACGCCCAACTAATTTTTGTATTTAGTACAGACAGGGGTTTCATCATGTTGGCCAGGCTGGTCTTGAACTCCTGACCTCAAGCAATCCACCTGCCTTGGCCTCCCAAAGTGCTGGGATTATAGACGTGAGCCACTGTGCCTGGCCTCTGGTTGCTTTTGAAGTGTTTTCTTTGTCTTCATTTTCAACTGCAATGTTTCAAGTTGGATTTTCTTTTATATATGTTGCTCCAGAATGTTTTCTTCAATTTAAGAATTCATATCTTTTATCAATTTAGAAAAATTCTCAGTCATTCCTAAAAATACTCAGTCATTACTAAACATTTCTCTTTAATAGTTTAAAACATTTTTTACAGTCTTTTAAAGATCAATCTGCTATATCAAATTATTATGATACTCCTCTTGTTTACCTACTGACTTTTTTTGAGAGTAGATTATTTCCTTGTATGGCTTGTAATTTTTGTGAACCTCTTTAAAATAGATTTGAAAAGATTTTTTATATAAGCTATGCAAACCTAGGATATGGATGTGTTTATGTTTGTGTCTGGCAGACCTCCCAAGGTAATACCAATCTAAAACCAGTTTTAAGGGTAATTTTACTGTTTGGCGATTTCATCCAATGTGGAAACTATAAATTCAGATTCTGAATCCATGCATCCTACAATCTTAGGTTTTAAATTCTTCACAGAATACTTTCTTCTCTATTCAGAGCTTTCAGCAGGCCAAGCTTCGCTATGGACTGAGTTTCTTACCCCTTCTTTTACTGAGAGGGCAATCCTTCCAGATTCTGGTTTCAATTCCAGTTGCTTACTTCCAGGGATCCACATCTCCTGACCCTGAATGGGCACTGAAACCCCAATCCCAACCCATCAGGGCCTAGATGTATAGGATCTATCTACCACCCCTCCGCCAAGTTCATTTTATGAACTTGTTATTCTGGCTTTAGGCACTTACTCTCTCGCTTTCTGAAACATGGGTTTTCCTTTCTTTTGAATACATTTTTCAGTGTTTGTCATTTTATTTCATCCAGTATTCATATATATATATATATATATATATATATTTATATTTTGTAGAAACAGAATTTTACCATGTTGCCCAGGCTGGTCTCGAACTCCTCGGCTCAAGCAATTCACCTTCCTTGGCCTCCTAAAGTATTGGGATTACAGGCATGAGCTACCATACCCAGCCCTATCCAATATTTTAATGTGGTCATAGGGAGTCTGTGTGTGGGGTCAGGTAGTGTTCATGTAACTCAGTTACTTTCAGAAACTTTAAAGTACCATTTCTTTTGTTTCTTTTCTTTTTTGTAGAGACGGGGTTTCACCATGTTGCTCAGGTTGGTCTCAAACTCCTGAGCTCAAGTGATCCAGCCGCCTCAGCCTCCCAAAGTGCCGGGATTACAGGCATGAGGAACCTGTGCCTAGCCTATTTCTTGGTTCTAATGAACATTTATTTTATTTTATTTTATTTTATTTTGAGATGGAGTTTTGCTCTTATTGCCCAGGCTGGAGTGCAATGGTGCGATCTTGGCTCACCACAAGCTCCGCCTCCCGGGTTCAAGTGATTCTCCTGCTTCAGCCTCCTGAGTAGCTGGGATTACAGGCATGTGCCACCACACCTGGCTAATTTTGTATTTTTAGTAGAGATGGAGTGTCTCCATGTTTGTCAGGCTGGTCTCGAACTCTCGACCTCAGGTGATCCACCCGCTTTGGCCTCCCAAAGTGCTGGGATTACAGGCGTGAGCCACTGCGCCTGGCCTCTAATGAACATTTATAAATACATAATTATATTAGATTAGATGTAATATACTACATAGTATATTAGATATACTATATATGTATATAATTATAAACATATAGTTTAATAGAAATAGCATTAAATGTAATATAATAGTTGTAAATATAGTACATATACAGTAGATATAGATGTAAATATACATATGTATGCATGTAGTATAATAAATATAAATATGTAGTGTATTAGATGTAATATACTAGTAAATTAGATGGTAACAAGTGTTATGAAAAAAATCAGGAAAGGGGATAAGGTATTGGGGGTTGTGATTTTATTTGAATACATATATATTTATTGTTCAAACATTTTTATTTTAAATTTATTTTTAATTAAAAAAATTTATTTTTAGAGATGGAGCCTCACTATGTTGCCCAGGCTAGAGTGCAGTGCATTCACAGGCGTGATCATCGCACATTACAGTCTTGAACTCCTGGGCTCAAGTGATCCTCCTGCCTCAGTCTTCTGATCAGCTGGGATTAGACGTATGTACCATTGCACCCAGCTATTTAAATACTTATTTAAAAAATAATTTATTGGTCAGGCATGGTGGCTGACGCCTGTAATCCCAGCACTTTGGGAGGCTGATCACCTAAGGTCAGGAGTTTGAGACCAGCCTGACCAACATGGTGATACCCTGTCTCTACTAAGAATACAAAAATTACGGGTGTGGTGGTGCATGCCTGTGGTCCCAGCTATTCTGGAGGCTGAGGCAGAAGAATTGCTTGAACCTGGGAGGCAGAGGTTGTAGTGAGCCAAGATCACGCCACTGTATTCCAGCCTGGGCAACAGAGCAAGACTCTGATTCAAAAAAAAATTTTTTTAAGTGAAAATTCATGTAACATAAAATGAATCAAGTGAAGTGAACAATTCAGTGGCATTTAGTACAGTGACAATGTGGGGATTGTGATTTTAATGGGGTTGTTAGGCCTCCTGAAGTGATATTTGAGACAATACCTGAAAGAGATGATGGGAGAGCTATGATGCAGCTCTCTGAGGAACAACATTAGAGCAGAAGAAATAGCAAAGCCATAGACCATGAGGTGAGAGCATGTCTGGTCTGCAAGAGGAAGAGTAAAGAGGCCTTGAGGATGGAGTGGAATGTACTGGACGGTGAGCAGTGGAAGATGAGATTGTTGGATAGGCAATGAGAGCCTAGATCAGTGATGGCCAATAACATTTTCCTTAATAATGGAAATTTTCTATATTTCTGTGTCGTCCAGTATAGTAGCCATTAGCCACATATGGCTGTTGAGCATTTGCAATGTGACTGGTGTGACTGAGGAACTGAATTTGTAATTTTATTTAATTTTAATTAATTGAAATTTAAACAGTTACTAGTGCTACAATTATTGGAAGGCTCAGGTTTTGATTGTGTGGGACATTGTAAGTTATAAAAAGTTTGGTTTTCATTCTGTGTGATATGAAAAGCCATTGGAGGGTTTCAATCTGATTTTAACAGAACCACTTTGCCTGCTGGGTTGACAATTGATTGAAGGGGACAATAGTAGAAGCAAGGGGACCATTTAGGAAGCTATTGACATTATTTCTGCTGAGATTATATTAGAGACAATCTAGCATATAGTATGCTCTCAGTAAATAAAGTATTTGTATTACAGTATTCTTCCTTCTAAAAAATACTGAGTTACCTATGGGCCAAATTCTATTTTAGATGATAGGGATACCTCAGTGAAAGAAATACAACCCTTGTGTACATGAATGTTATATTCTAGTCGGAGAGATTGACAATAAACAGACAAGCACCTGGGGTGGAGGAGTAGTTGAATGTTGGGACATAAGTTTAAAGGAGGATAAATGTCCTCTTATTTCCATCTTCTCAGTGATATTTTCCTGTGGGTGTTACTTCATTTGGAGAAAGACAAAGTCTGAACTTGAGGTCATTTGTGACAGTGATACCCCGCTGGGCCTCTTAAACTCTATGTGTGGAGGGGCCTTCTAGGAATTGTATAGTGATGTGAACAACACATGGGCCTCTGGAACCCAGAGCTCCACAGGGTAGGCTGGCCTCCAGTTAAATTTCCATTCTGTTTCTCAGGCCTAGAGGCCTTATCTGGGGTAAGGCCAGAGTCTCCTGAGAGATTATCCAGAAACTTGGGCATAGTTGCTAGAGACCTTAAAACTTATGATGACAAAAGTATATCTTGGGAGGGGGTGCAAAAAGACTAGAGTCAACAGAACTTGAAGCAAGGCCAGAAGGTGCAGCTGGGACCATAAATGGGGATCTAGTTGAGGGCAGGATGGCCCCTCCATCACAGCACTGCTCTTTTGGGTTGTGGGCCTGGTCTTCTCATCTCATGGTGTTTGCCCAACCACAATCTAGAGTGGATGGAGGGTGTCCAGAGTGCAGCTGCTGGTCCCTGAGTGGTTGGGGGAGCATTCAGAGATAGGATTGGAGAAACTTTTATTGTTATTATTCCTATATTCCCCATCCCCAACCCCAAACCTGTATTTTTTAGTAAGTTTATTTGTTGAAATTAAATGAAATGTTAACACCTGGTCTTAAATTTGGGCACATGGCTATGGCATCTGGTTTGAAAATAATGACTAAAACTATTTGTTGTAAAAAGCATGTTATTAGTTCTTTTAAGTTAGTGCTTAAAAATCTAAGTATTTAACTAATGTGACATAATCTAAATCTCACCTGTGTTTTCCAGTCTCTTTTATGGAAAAAATAATCCTCAAAGAAATTCAAAGGCTCCTTTCTTCTTAGCATCTCTAATTTCTGCATGTCTTTGAATGGCTTTCCCATCACCACCCCATCCACATTAGGGAACAATGGAAAGATGGGTATTTTTGAATATGGGCTATCTGAATGGGAATTGCATCCTAAAAAGATAAAAACAAAAATGGTATCACAAACAATGTAAGAAATTCACATAAAAGACCAGCATGTGGTGCCTGTTTTGCTTTGTCTATTCTTCTCAGTGGCCATGGCCCTCATTCTTCACTCTCCTGCTTCCACTCCCAACCCATTCACAGACTCTAGGCTTCATCAGGTGTCTGAGGATTCAGGTTACATCTACATTTGCTTTCAAATGACATCTATGTCACACAGAGTGGTCACTCAGAATAGGCTGTGGTTCTGTTCTTAAGGCATTTGGGCTCTAGTACTTCTTTCTGACCAGTCATATAAAAATACATCCTTTACAACAGTAGAGAGAGAACAAATGGCTCTTACTCTTGAGCTCTTCAAGAAATTTAAATAAATCCTTTTCTTTCATTATTGCAATCCGGGCAGCATTAGCAAAGGCAGCCATGCTTGAGCTTGGAGGTGTGCATATGTCTGGCTTAAGTGTCCTTTTTCCATAGCCCATAGTGTAGGGACTCCACAACATTCCTGGGCCAGTATGCTGGAATTTTCTTTGGAAATAGCTTTAAAAAAAAAGTAATTCAGAAATGGATACAAAGAGATATAGGATAAAAATTTTAAAAAGTCAAGTTGCTAGTTACATATGCTGAAGAAACTTACTTTAAATCTAATTTGCATATTCATTCAATAATATTTGAGTGTCTATTTCTGTGATATTTATAGAATATCTACTGATACCTTCCACAGGCCATTTGACTATTTATATCTGTATTCCTTGGCTTTTGGTCTCCCTTTTTTCCCCAAGCCTTCCCAGAGTTTTTGTTTTTGTTTTTCTCAGAGAGAGATGAGGTCTTGTTATTTTGCCAGGCTGGACTGGAACTCCTGGGCTCAAATTCTCCTCCCTCCTAAGCCTCCTGAGTAGCTGGACTATAGGTACCTGCTATCATGTCCAGCTCTGACCTCCCTGTTTTGTTTAGAAAAATACTTATGAATTATGATCCTTGACAAACCCTTAAGTGGTACCAGCTTGAATACAAACATTAATGATTATTACTTTGTGTTAGGTTTAGAAATGCAAATTTTGTTTTAAGTTAAAAGAAATTCTCATTGCAGAGAATTTGGAAAATATAGAAAAGTATAAAAAGGAAAAGAAAATACTACCAGTAAGCTTATGATCTGGAGTAAATCACTATTGATTGCTTTTCTTTCTTATCTTTTTTTTTTGGAGTGTATGTGTAAGAACAGACTTAGATGTGTTACTGGGCATTTTAGGTTACACATTCTTTGAGAATTAGTACAGCTGGCAGGCTGTATATGATAAAGGACTCTGATCCATGGTATAAATATCTGACTTACAAACATGCATGCCTCAAATATCAGTAACTGTGGTGGTAAGTGATCAGCTTCCTCCTTGCTGCCAGAACAGTGAACTTCTCTCTGCAGCTATGGCAGGGATCTGATCTGCTTACTGCTGCTGAGGTGGAAGGACTTGCTGCTCACTGCTTTGATAGTGGAACCTCTCACATCTCAGTGTTCTGAGTAGAAGAGCATCACTTTACGCTGTCTCAGAGGAAAAGGTGTAGGACCTTGCTTCTCATAAACACATAGGTAGATTTCTTCCTGTTACAGCAATGGGAGGCTTCACTACTCTCTGGGATGGTGACAGGCAACCTTTCCTTTCCTCTCAGGAAGAGGGAAAGGACTCATTCTAAATGTTGGGGCTGAAGCAGTGGTTGGTAGGAAATGTGCCTATGGTGTTCTGATTAGAGTCTGACTTATGATCAGATACTTTCTTCCCTAGCCTTGAACTCAACCATCCACAATGTCATCACTTGCCTCTGAAAATAGCATAAGGCTAGTTTTTCTTAATGTAACTTAATTCCCACCTGGTCCTTCAAGGCTCAGTTTTTCTTTCCCTCAGAGTATTCTCTATATACTCTATGGCTCTGAGTGTGGTCTTCAGCACCACTGGGAAAATACAAATTGTGGGAAATACAAATTCTTGGCCCTGACTACACACCTATTAACTTAGAAATCCTGTAGCCTAGCAATGTGTTTTAACAATCACTCCAGCTGATTCTGACACAGTGCAAGTTTAAGAACTTTTGCTCTAGTCTATAGTTTCCTTTCTTCCTTGAAATTCTAATCTTTGCTTAACAATTTATGTCACATTATATTTTATAACTAATTGTTTCATGTATATCACATACCAAAACTAGTGGCTTGTGTTTGTATTTGCTGTTATTATTATTATTATTTGAGACAGAGTTTTGCCCTTGTTGCCTATGCTGGAGTGCAGTGGCACGATCTTGGCTTACCTCCACCTCCTGGGTTCAAGCGATTCTCCTGCCTCAGCTTCCCGAATAGCTGGGATTAAAGGCATGCACCACCATGCCTGGCTAATTTTGTATTTCTAGTAGAGACGGGGTTTCTCCATGTTGGTCAGGCTGGTCTTGAACTCCCAACCTCAGGTGATCCATCCACCTTGGCCTCCCAAAGTGCTGAGACTACAGGCGTGAGCCACCATGCCCAGCCTGCTATTTATTATTATTATTGTTATTATTTTAGAGACAGGGTCTCACGGTCTCCCAGGCTGGAGTACAGGGGTGCAAGGCTCACTACAGCCTTGAACTCCTGGCCTCAAGCAGTCCTTCTGCCTCCACCTCCTGAGTAGCTGGGACCACAGGTGCAAGCCACCCTGCCTGGCTAATCTTTAAATTTTTTGTAGAGAGTTTCCCTACATTGCCCAGGCTGGTCTTGAACTTCTGGGCTCAAGTGATCTTCCTGCTGTGGGCTCCCAAAGCTTTAGGATTACAAGAGTGAGCCTAGCCTGTATTTGCTTTTAATATAATGATATAATTTTGCTAGATTTGCATATCTCTGTTTCCCAGAATTCCTGGGCATATCTAAAAATACAGGAAAGATACTCTTTGCCATACTATATTACAAAGTATAATAAAAGAAAACAGGGCCAGGCGTGGTGGCTCATGCTTGTAATCCCAGCACTTTGGAAAGCCAAGGTGGGAGGATCACTTGAGGTCAGGAATTCAAGACCAGCCTGGCCAATATGGCGAAACTCTGTCTTTACTAAAAATACAAACATTAGCCAGGCGTGGTAGTGTTGGTGCGTGCCCATAATCCCAGGTATTTGGGAGGCTGGGGCCAGAGAATTGCTTGAATACTGGAGGCAGAGGTTGCAGTGAGCTGAGATCATGCCATTGCACTCCAGCCTGGGCGATGAGAGCAAAACTCTGTCTTAAAAAAAAAAAAAAAAAAAAGAAAGAGAGAAAGAAGTATAGTAAAAGAAAATATATATTCTATAAACCTATATTCACAATAAAAGATCAGTCTGTGTAGGGGCCCAGATGTCCTGGGCAAGCCCAGTCTTTACTCATTTCCCTCACCCACCTCCAGTGATGTCCTGGCTTGTAGTAGACTTTTCCTCTGCTGAGGTTTCACACCTTCCTGACAGTCCAGTGAATTCACTGACACCATTCTAACTGTGTAATCCTGGGCATATTATTCAATTTTTAAGATGCCTCAATTCCCTTATCTGGGAATGGGGGTAATGACAGTATCCACTTCATAGTGTTAAATGAAATAATACACATAAAGACTTTAGGGTGGTATCAGGAGCACAGTAACAACTCAACATATGTAAGGTGTTGTTATTTCTCTAGTTCCTTGCAAGATCTATGATCAAATATACAGGACTTCTATATATTTCACTTTTTGTTTTCTTGAAGAGATCTATCCACCTGGAATGGTTTCAGTGCATAGTTATTGACCCAGAGTTATTCTTCACCATCATCCCAGGGAGGAAGTCCCTTTGTCTGTCTCCTTTTTGGATATTCTGTTTCCTGGATCCTATGTTTTCCTTTTTTTTTTTTTTTTTTTTTTTTGAGACAAGGTCTTGCTCTGTCACCCAAGCTGGAGTGTAGCGACCTTCTGGGCTCAAGCGATCCTCCTGCTTCAGCCTCCTGAGTAGCTGGGACTACAGGCACATGCCACATCTGACTAATTAAAAAAAAAATTTTTTTTATAGAGATAGGATCTCCCTACGTTGCCCAGGCTGATCTTGAACTCCTGGGCTCAAGTGATCCTTCTGCCTTGGTCTCCCAAAGTCCTGGGATTATAGGTGTGAACTGCCTGTTTTCCTACTTATTGTGTATACTCCCTCATCTTGGTGGGGTATATCCTTCAATAGCTTCCTAAGGAAGAATGCATAAGTACATTTTTTGAGGCTTGGTAACTGGAAAGTGTCTTTTCTTTTACACTTTGCAGTTTGGCTGGGTAGGTTGCAAATCATTTTTTCTGAGGCACTGTTAACATTATTTTCTGGCTTTCAGTGCTGTACTTGAGAAGTCTTATGTTTCCTTTCCGCATGCAGAAAAGTAAATTTTTTTCCTTATTGGAAACTTTTAGCATCTTATCCCTGATGTTCTGAAATGTTATAGTAATGTGCCATGTGTGGGTATGGGTCTTTTATCATTCATTGTGCTGGACATTCAATGGATACTTTAAACCTACAAACTCACGTATGTGAATTCTGGGAAATCTTCTAGGACTATTTCTTTGATAATTTCCTGCCTTCATTTGGTTTTCTCGTTCACCTTTTAGAATGCTTACTATTTGGAATGCTGGACTGATTTTCTCATTTTTTCTAATGCTGTTTTCTCTTTTTCCAATATTCTGAGAGATTTTCTTAATTGAAATTTTCACTTCTGCTATTCTATTTTTAATTTCCAAGAACTTCAACCTTTTTCTTTCTTTTGAATGTTTCTTTTATATAGTTTCCTATTCAAATTTCATGAATGCAAATTAACCCTCATATCTTGGAGGATATTACAATAATTCTTCTGTATCATGTATCATGCATTATCTCTACTTCTTTAGTTTGTTCTTTCTTTTTTTTGTTCTTTCTTTCCTTCTTGTTTTAATATTGCTTTACTATTAATCTAAGATTAATAATCTAATAATAATCTTCCTTAAATATCTTTTTTTAACAAGAGATGAGGGTATCATTATGTTGCCCAGGCTGGACTTGAACTCCAGGGTTCAAGTGGTCCTTCTGCCTCATACTTTCGAGTAGCTAGGACTACCGGCATGTGCTACTATGTCCAGCTCTTAAATGTCCCTTGATTTCTTGGATGTCTATTCATATTTTAGAATGAGAGTAAGCACCCGTTAAGTCCAATTGGAAGCTTTTTGGTGTGTTAAATCTTATTGGTGGGAGCTCTACTGTCAGGTAATTGGTTGGAGCCTTGTTTCATCAAGGGACTTTTTAACTGGGAGTGTGGGTTTTTTCTCATGGGCTAGTCAATTTCCCTGAAGACTAATCTTCTACAATTTTACTTGGGTGGTATAAGTCTAGCTTCCAACACATCGGGAACATGGAAGGAGAAGGGGGCTAGTGGGAGGTCTTGCCATTCAGTAAGTACATTTTCTTTTCTTTCTTTTTTGAGACAGAGTCTTGCTCTGTCCCCCAGGCTGGAGTACAGTGGCCTGATCTTGGCTCACTGCAACCTCCGCCTCCTGAGTTCAAGCAATTCTTGTGCCTCAG